GCATCTCCTAGACAAGCATGGGCCAGACATCGAAACGACAGGATTGATCACTGGCTGTCATACAACCCCGTTCCTTAGTATCCCAAAAGCTCCACAAGCCCAAAACCTAGAGGAGCTTGGACAAAACTTTCCCAACCACATTTCGGCCGTCTGCGTCATCACTGAGTCCAACTGGTTGGTTCAAAAGGCCTACCGCTTCTGTGAAATAACTGCTCTTGAAGCTATATCCAATTCAATTTGACACTGACCTCTTACAGGTTCTTACAGGTTCTGGTCGTGGTGGATATTATACCCCTTTTCTACTTCTCTATGAGATTTGCTGTTGACTGCCGCTTCCAAATCTAGGCTCAGCTTTACTCTGAGCAATATACAAGGTCAGTCGTACTCCTGTACTGTACCCACTAAACTTGATCCGGTTGGGACTCAGAACCTCAGTATCAAGCTGTCGACAAGGTTGAAAATATTAAATTGCTTCGCAATGAAAGTCCCCTTTCACCACACTACATTATTCTGAAGGTTAATTCCACTATAACCCTGAAGCATGATAATCGAGGACCATACAGTCTTGATCAGAAACAGATGAAGGGAGGAAACGCACAACTTTGTAAGTTTCTTACGCTGACAAGGCTTTAGGCACAAATAAGTTTCAATCTTTGTCTATCTAATCAATCCCTGTATCTCAATTCTTGAACGTGGCACAGACTCACTTGAAATGAATAGCGCTGAATCGAGAGGGCTGCTGAGAAGACACCAGAGACGCTACAGATCATATGAGGGTCATGTGCTAATATTGAATCAGGAAGGGATCCTTGTGAACCCTGCAACACGTAGCTGTGCTTACAAAACTAAATTTGAACTTGTGTCGTTTGTAGTAAAGTCCACATCTGTATGGATAATGACGAATTTACTACGCTGCATGCATCATTTCCTCGTGGAGTTCTAGAGCTACTGTTGCTAACTGAACAAGTCCACAGTGTCGTAAGCTGTGAGGACCATGCACACATGACAATCTGACTGAGACTGTACTTGCAGATTTGGGAAAAGTGATGAACTTAGTCTTGTCCCGAGACAATCTGCATTGCTGTTTCTTCAGAGGCAATGATGGTCTGACCTTGCTCAGGTAATCCTGACTGAGAATCCAGTTTACAGCAACCGCAGTCAAAATAGCTTTTTTCTCCACACCTTCTTGATTTTCAAAAACTCTCCTCTCAAATTCCACTCCACTCTGAACCTTTTCTATATTGTCCCTTCTAAAATCCAAATTCCCTTTCAAAATCGACCAAACTTAAACGAGCTCGATCATGCATGAAGAATTCAGATGCAAGATGACCAAAGGTGCCTTCAACAGTTGTAACAGGATGATGGGATCACAATTCTAGAAGTCACTTTGCTAATCTGAAATCAGAATTCTGAGCTTCGAAGTCTTCTACTAGAAGAGTATTTGAAGCCTTGATGTCCCATATTTCTAAATGTTCATTCGACCGCTCCTCAAGAAAATTTGCTTCAATTCTTCCTCACGAAGTAAACCGCGTCATCCGCTATCCTGCAGTCCTGCTGATCTGACAATTCTGTCACCTCAACTAACATCATCACCTCTTCGACTATGAAAACGTATCAGTACGTTCGCGTTACAAACATTCCAACTGATACTGCCATCGTGACTGCCCCATCAAAGATTTTTGGAAGGTGATATTTAAAATTGCTCATGAAGGTCAATTTTTTGTAACCGGAAAAAGTTTTCACAGCTACCAGAAATCGGCAGAAAGAGCAATTTTTGTAATACCTGTATCTATCCCTCTGCGCTTCAACTCGGATTAAAATTTGACAAGTTTAAAGATTACTTCTCAATTCCCCTACGCTGTATGATTTCTGCTCTTGAATCTGATTCCTCCTATGATTACACCCGATTGTGAAAACTCTTGAACTAAGAAATCACTTTCTCTTCTATTTCTGAATTCACCTCGAATTGATTTCTCCATTGAGACAACACACACCTGAAAACTCCTCTGATTACTCCTCTAACTTAAGTGTACCACTTTGTCTCAGTCTCCGGTAGATAAGCTCTAGATAGTCCTCCGTCACGCTCCCATTAAACCTTGTAGATAGAAAACCGTGTTTCACAAGTTTGGACACCCAATTGATTTCGACAAAGCTTGTACACTTAAAAATCTGAAATCCACATAGCTACAAAACCCTTGTTCACTCCAATCACTCACGTAATCTTCCCAAGGTTAGGGATTTTGAGTAAGATTAATCTGAAACTACTTTCTAGCAACACTTTCCACAATCTCCAATCTATCAAATTTTCTTCTCTGACTTCAATCAAGACGCCAACCGAAGAGTGAAATCTACATCCTGAAGAATCACCACCTATCAAAAGCAACCGCGACAGCAAAATTCTAATCATGAGTAGTTGGTTTCGTATAATCTCCCATGAGAAAGTGAGTTCTTCAAGTGAAATTTAACGCGTTATTCTCCACTAGAAAACACCTTAGTCTTGATTGCACCACTGAAAACAAAACCTTCAGATACATAAGTCAAGCTCAATTTAGTCTTGATTACACCACTAAGAACAAAACCGTCACATACATAAGTCAAGCTCAATTTAGTCTTGATTACACCATTGAAAACAAAACCATCACATACATAAGTGAAGCTCAATTTAGTCTCGATTACACCACTGAAAACAAAACCATCACATACATAAGTCAAGCTCAATCCATTCCGAAGAGACTTCAGGTGGAGGGTTTAGGGGTTTATGGGGGTTTAGGGTTTAGGAATCACTCTATTCCTAACGCTAAAGATTCGACTCAAAGAACTGAACGCTCTTCAAGTCGTCCACGACTCTATAGTTTCCCGCTAGATCGCTAGCGGTAACTCTAAGCTCCACATGAAAATATAATAAGAGAAAAAACTACATGACAAAAAGACACGAGTGAACGATAAGTTGAACATAGAGCAACAAGCAAACACCTTACAACAACACACCAACGGACGGTGTATGTACATTGAGTTCTTCGACTAAACAAGAGACGAGAAAAAAAAAGAACATACACACACAAATGTATCACAACTAAAAATATCCTTGCAAATTCCATTTATTTCAAACTTGAAGATTCACATCAAATGTAGCCAAACCCACTCCTCACGTTAGAGACTACAAGTAAAAGCTAGTTGTACATCATAATCAACCTATTGAAAGCTATTCACTTCGCAAAAGTCTCAACTCCAAGAATTGATCGCTCTTCGAGTAAGCGCGACTGTATTCTCCGACAGTAATTAGTTAACCTAGACTATATTTAGTATTAAGTCAACTAGAGTCAACCTTAACACAATGCTAATCATAAACATCACATATACGCATGACATGATAGCTAAGCCAAGCAACACATCATGCCGATCAAAAAAAATTTTAATTGATTTATTTAAAATCTAAAATTGATATGAAATCAATATTTATAAAGAAACTAATTGCAATTGATAAATTTACTTCCTTAGTTAGCTCAATTATTTAGTATTAAAATAACTAAAATTGAATCAACACCCAAATTAACTCCTATCAATATTCAAAAAAGTTGATGCAATGACATGATTTTTATCAAATAAAATTATAGCTCAAAATTGACATTCACAACAATATGCACTCTCATATAATAGACACAAAGAATATGTTGTTTGCTCCATATAGACTTCATTTTTTTGAACAAAGTGAATCATTTACTAAAACCTTATATTATGTGGATGAATTCTACAAAAAAAACTCCTCTATATTGAAGTAAACCAATTGATTAAATAATTATGACTGACTTGATTTTAGGTCACAAAGATTCAGATCCTAAATGATGCAAGTGATAGAACTAAATGTTAGTTTAGAGGTTTAGGTTTTAGTGTTTTAATATTGAGGAAATCAAAAAAATATGAATATACTTAATATTTTTTATAAAGATTTTTTTTGTGCATTATATTCTACACAAACTTTTTTCTAAATTGATAAGTATGAACTAATGTCATGTTTATAAAAAAAACATAGTCATACATTTTTTTGCTTATTCCAAGTCGACATAATTATCTACATGTTAAAGAAATCTATGGCAAGCAACATAGATAAATATCACAAAATCATTGTCTAAGCAACATTCTGAAAATTGAATTACAAATTTTGAACATTTGTAGATTGCTATGAATCTAGTTTCATTCACTTATTTGTATTCATCAAAAAATAAATATAATAATAAGTAGCTTGATATCCATTCATTCAGATCTTGGCAGATTGAATTTCCTATGTCAAATTTCTTTTATATTTTATCTATGTTATCAGATCATTCTGAAGAGAGAAAGAGGAAACAATGTCATTGTAGAGCATTACGAGGGAATCCTAAAACATGTTAGACCAGGAACCAACTGTAAGAATAATACAACAAACAAGGAATGTTGAATCTGTCCATGTGACGCGTCATTATGGTCAATGTGAGTAACTCTAGCTATGTATCAACTTTTGAATGGTTGTTGCCAGCTACTTACTTATGTCCTAAATTTTGAATTATCTAATTTCACTTGAATACATCAACTTTAGTCCGATTGTGGCGCTCTAAGTACTCATGTCATGAGTTGCTAGACTTGCTTGGCATTCAACAAATACATCTGGAAATCCCCGCTATACCTCTGTTTATGTCGTATGTATCACTATCGAACTTGAAGTGGTTACGGTGGTTTAAGGTGTTAGAAGATATTACAAAATAACCCCTCTCTATTTCTGATTCTTGAAAGCATAACCTTATTTGAATGAGGTAACCCTTGAAACATTGCGTAATCTCATTATTTGAAATTAGCTACTTCAAAGTTCTCACGAAAATCTCTCTACATGATCGAGTATATCTTAAAGCCTATCATTCATGAAGTCAACTGTTTATCACCCGAAACGATTCGAGCTAAGTGGATGTGGAGCGGTAAGGATTTCAAATGAGTGTAATTCTTACGTGTGAGTGTAATCACTGGATTACACAAAATCCAGTGCTGTCCTTTGTTGTAGTTGAGAAACTTTCTATTGCTTTCCTCGCCTTTCCTCTGTTTTGTAGCCTGGAACCTTATCCGTTTCCGTAAGAGAGAAGGTGATTGTCACTTCGTGAGGACTTCTAACGGGAGCGAGAACCTGCATGATCAGCTATTTCTCAACATGAAGCTACTGTTTTAATCATCGAGAGGATCGTATGAGTTAATGTTCAGTCCAAGAGGAGCGACTCACTCTGAGAGTAACGGACATGAACAGTGCTGCTGTTTTGAATGTTTCGAAGCTCTGTCTAGGTTCGGTGCAATTTCCTTCTTCCCAACAAATCACAGGTTCTTGAATTTATGTCGGTTGAAGAAGATGATTATTTCAAATGATATTTTGACTCACATCCTTCTCCTGCGTTACTCAGGAACCATGACTTTCGGGGAACAAAATTCTTATGAAGATGCTCGCGAGCAGCTAAACTTTGCAAGAGAATCCGGAATCAATTTTTTCGACGTTGCCGAGATGTGAGTTCAATTTTGAAGTTTTTGTTCTTTTATCTCTCAATCTTCCGAATTTTTTTAAATGTGTTGCAGATGACCATCACGATTATCCATGAATCGCAATACTCATGTTGACGGATCTCCTGTGTAAGGAATTTGTACCTCACTGTTGTTTCACAGTTTGGGTTCAACTTGATGAGTAGATGAAAATAAAGCCTGATTGTAATTGTTGAGATCAAAGGATGACAATGCTGCCGAAGAGTTGAAACAGTACATTGTCTCGCAAGGTGGTCGTACAACTTCTAACAAAGTGCGTTATGAAACGGATCATCTCTTTACAGCATTTGTACCGTTTACTTCGCCAAACACGCTCTTAGATTTGGTTTTTTCCGCAAACTTACAGGTATCCAGTTCCTCAGCGAGCCGAGTCTCAAGGTAAATCAGAAATATATCTTGGACGATGGTTAAAAGAAGCACAAGTGTCTCGGGAACGAGTTCTGGTGGCAACAAAGGTGATCATCAATGCTATGATACGTATTGGCGTTCCTATTCTTTCAGGATCCGTGTTGTAACCTTCGGATTGCTCTTCGATCGTAGACGGAAGTCTATCTCTTTCTCGACCTGCACTATTTTCCGTTTAAAGTGGCCTTAGAGTCTAACTTGGTGATCTCAGTTCTTTTCAGACAAAACTCGAAACTAGAGGATATTGTCGTTTCTGACCAAGATCGAAGGTAGGAAAATCTAATTTTGATTATAAGAGAGGTTCAAAAGGAGTTTACCTTAAAGACAGCTACACCGGACCAGCAGATCGATGGAGGCGGTTGGATTGTAGTGTCGAATGTAGAAGACACTAACGTCAAGTTGAGAATTGAATCACAAATAACACCGAGTGTTGTAATTCTCGCATGGCTTAGGATTCTAATCTTTCCTCAATGAGTCCTTTTGTCCTACTCTTTACTAGATTAAATACGTACAGATAGCTTACAAGAAAGAAAATCGGGGACGCATGGAATGAAGAACGCGATAGTGTACACATAGACGTCTTTTCATGTTCATATTTTGAACAAATACTAGAAGATTCACAGGAATGACTAAATTAACAAAGACGAAGGTCTGACAGGTACATTTTAATATCGAAGCCTCTAACTTAACCAGCTTTCTGCCCGAAGGTAACTAAGCATCACAACTAGTTGCGCGCTCTTTTTGCTCATTGCACTGTCCATCATAAGACTATGTGATCTTTATAGATTCATCGAAGACTTTTGACTCATCATGAGAATAAACTCCAGTATTGACACTTCGGTTCAACAAACCGTCATACATGATTTCCTCGGTCAACCAGTATACCCAAGCGCTCTTCATAGCTTCGGCCAGTGTTTTTCTGGTTACTGTGTGCTACAGAAGATCCTTATCAAGTCGGTAACTCTCTTGAACTTTGCTGAAGCACGTCTTTCGCTGTAGAAAAGATATGTAAAAGTGACATAACTACATGATCGTCCAGATGCTCTGATTACATGGTAGATAACATGCTGCGATGCTTGACTTGGATAATGAGATTACTGGCTTCTTCTATTATCTGTAATATGTTGCATTCATTGAGGGTGTACAGAGCTTCAAATGCCTCGAAAATGCATGGGAGCCAGTACTTTCATCCAAGATTAAACGATGCTCGTAATCCATAGAGAAGATTTGGTTCTTGATGACGGAATATGGGCAACTTGAGACTTGAATGATTATGCCTGACTTCAAAACCATATGATCAAATTGATTCGTCATGTACAATTAAATTCGCTTGGTCTATAGGTAACTGTCCTGCAGTAGAGTCTGACTTAAGTCACTAGCCCAGATCCTTTTCTCATTTCAGTCATTTTTAGCTCGCTGGTAACATTATTCCAAAACGGATCATGAGGTCTGTAATGTCCTAGTTAGTAATCTGCGTTCGTAACTGTTGTAGTACTATATAATATGTACAGGATCGAGTTTGTGGATCAATTATATTTTTGTGGACGTAAGCCTTAGCAATTTGAGAGTTGGCGGTAAATGAGGAGAAAATACGATCCTTAACATGAGTTTCACTATCTGCAGGCCACCGGACCCTCGGGTCAAATGACATGGATTCGCGGAGGCCCTACATCCCTTGATTCCAAAAACATTGAACAAGCTATCGATGGGAGGTAACAGTGTCACAACCTGGATAACTTAGGCTATGCTTGCACGTGTATCTATGTAACTCAGGTGTTTAAACAACTTCAAGACCTTGTACATTAGAGTAAACTTCTGTTCAGCTGCGCAAGATTAGGTAACATTTGATAGACCTCGTTTTGCTGAAGAGGTCCTCAAGAGTGTAGTTTAAAATTGTAGCCACTCTTAGTGAGGTTCGAAGCCTGCATATCGAAACTTATCCCTGTATTCAGCAGAAGTTTTCTTCCTGCTGATCTGCAGGCGTGAAGGACTTTATGTAGGTCGTTATATTTCATTGAGCTCTCTGCAAGTGAAAGTACCTCGTTGTTGAGTGCGCATGATCTGTAATTGTGCCAAATTTCACATTTATTTCTGTTAATGGTTTTTGCAGTTTGAAGCGCCTAGGCTGTGATTACATTGACCTATATCAACTTCACTGGCCCGATAGGTGCAATTTTTTCTCTCCTCAGTACAAAGCTGTTTCTATCTGCTTTCTCCTGTGCCAGACCAATCTTTGCAAGTTCTAAATGATTATTTTTTGAAATACAACCTCAGAGTGTTGCTAATGTCTTAATCTTACCCTTGCCTGTGGGCTATATCAGAGTAATTTATATGTTTAGTAACGTACCAACTCCTAGTTTCTATGAACCTGTCGAAATAAATGTTGGAACTTCACTTTGTACAGTTTTGTATGTTTCGCGTGTGTGGTGTCAGGTATGTACCTATGTTTGGTGACATTGATTATGATCCGACGGCCAGTTACGCACCGGTGCCAATCGAAGAGCAGCTTGAGGCACTTAGCAGAGCCAAAGAGGCAGGAAAGGTAAGTGCTCTCAACTCTTGCTGCTCTTGGGCGATTTGTTTGATTTTGTAAACGCTGGTACCTCACCAGCTGGTTGAATCTGCAACTTGTGCTATCGGCATGCATGAGAACTTGTGTAGATTATTCATGTTGGTGTGAGCAATGAAACCGCATACGGTGTCATGGAGTTCTGCCGGTTGGCGGATTCGAAGTCGCCACTTCCTCGTATTGTTTCTATACAGGTACTTTCTTGTTACATACGTTCTGAGGACTTCTGTAATTACCAGTTACATCTTTCGCGCCATGTTTTGTCCTTGACTTCTCCAGATATTGGAAGGTGTAATAGTCTTCGAAGTCTTAAAGTCATTTACCTCGCCTGTCATTGATCGTCAATTCTACAATTTTTGAGTACAGAATGCGTATAATCTTCTCTGTCGGACCTTCGATTCTACATTAGCAGAATGCTGTCACCACCACCAGTAAGATTATTACTCATACTGAAGCTCCAGCAGTTTCGAGGTTCCTTCACTTATCTACATTTTGTTGGTCTGCCACCCAGCACAGGTCTTGTGTAGAGTGTATACGCTGGTTTTAGACTAAGTGTTACCCTTAAGCAAGCTACGTTGACATTATATTTTTCTCTACATAAACTCTATCACACTTGAAAGCTAATCGTAGAGAAAGTCTTTGAATGGACTGAAACAAGTGACAAGATGCTCATTTGATCATGAAACTTGTCATTCTTTTGAGTATGTCCTCAGTGTAAGGTTGTTGGCGTACAGCCCTCTTGCCATGGGTTTGCTCTCTGGGAAATACCTTACCCCTGAAAGGGGTCCGAAAGACGCACGTCTCAACCTTTACAGAGGTTGGTGAAAGCTAAGCCAAATGAACACTTGAACACTTTTCAATGTTGGTTGGAGTTGTCTGAAAATGAAATATGTTACGAGTAGATACTTTGTAGCATATTATCGAAAGCATCATTGTCATGCTTATTGGAACCGAATTGGGACATGACTTTTTGACGTCTAGAGATTTATCCTTAGCACTCTAACAGTGGAGTTGAATGTATGCAGGGCGCTATGCAGAGGCCGAATCCCGATATAGTTTTTCAAAGCCAAACTGTATACCAGCTGTGACTGTACGTCTTAATTCTAAATCTCCCAATAACTCAAGTAGAAAATATGCAGAGCAAGGATACATATGCTGACAAATCTGTGCAGATCTTTCAAAGTAGGCCATGCTCCCGTTCACTTGTCTACGATGCTTTGTCGCAAACTGCTTCCGAAGTACTCAACATCTTGTGTTAATCAACTTGTACACATCCTTTTCGTGTTACCTTTCTTCCCTTCGGTTGTTGAAATCTGTTACACTGCCTTATAAACGACTCACAATGCTTCTGCTTCCCGAATGCATTTACAGACACATCTGATGGCTTTTGTGAAAGCGTTGGTTTCGCTGCTATTTGCCACTATGCGCTCTGCCTCCGAGTAAAGCATCTATGACAAACCTTATTCACCCTGTGCAGTTATTGTCGTGTTTAGGGTGTCTACGGTGCAGCTATTGTCGTGCAAACGATGTTTAGGGTGCAGCTATCACCCTAAACATCGTTTTGTCAGCTTGCTTTTCAAATTTCACAATAACCTCATATGTTATACTGAGGACCTGTAATCCTTCTATATGAAGAAATAAATTCACTATGGCTTGTGTACTATCTATGTTATTGTAGTATGGTATCGTTCTTGTAATTATGACACAATCATATGGTCACTTTCCGCCCGCAATCGTTACTTATGTTAGTCCGCCGTAAGGCATTATTGGTCGGTTTTTGGGCGTGGCTAGTTTTGCTTAGCAGTCATGCAGCTCACCGTGTAATGAATGTTTGTGCCTGCCATTTGCCGAGAGCTTCTTCTGCTTGTACCAATCTCAAAACCGGAGGAAGTTCGGTACGCTTCTCTATTTTTCTTCTTTCGACGTCGGATACTGGGTCTAAACCCAGCGCAACGACCTCCAGTTGAAACATCACTTGTAGTGGATCCTTCAAAGGGCTGACAAGATCTTGGACGTAGCGGGAGCGACCTCCAAGATCTCACCTTTTCCGTTGATTACAACCTCTGAATTCTCTTACATATCCATAGAAACCGAGCTGACACATACCTTCGTAGTACCTGCTAACTTTTCTCTCCCAGTTATAGAGGTTTTCAATTCCGAATCTTGCCTTTCCTCTATCGTTCGCACTTCTTTGGCGTCTGCTCTCAACTACAGATATCGGCATCCGACTTTTCTTCAGGCAGCATTCTAGTAGGTTGCATGTCCATTCCCTGTGCCAATCAGTTTTGTTACCAACCTGCAGGGACACCTGGAACGTGATTGCGTTGGTATACTTGTCAGTATCTGTCATAGCCACGCCGCTCTTATTTAGTTTTGTAATAGATCCTGCCACAAGACATATTAATATAAATATGATGTTAATATGTGGATCATTCCATTAATAAATACATTTACATATCTAACAGTTCAAAATCTGTACCTATGAGTTCTTCTTTCCTGTTGCTAGTGATAATTTACCTCCTTTTATACTGTTATGATTTCAATCTAATCTCCACCTAAACTATTTTGGAATGTGAATATTGTCTCTCTGTTCTGCAACTTCTTGCTACACTGAGCATCAGCATAAATCGCTCTAAAACTTGTATCTTTTATATCCGTTGGTTATTGCTAGGCTTATGTGGATATCGCCAGAAGACACGGTATCAGTCCAGTAGCCTTAGCGATAGGTAATTTCTTGTTTTTTATTGGACTCTGAACAGTTTCTATTGGAATTGGATGCATCGCTGGTAAACATTTTTCTTGAGGAAGTGTTGCTAAGGAGTATGATTTTTCCAGGCTTTGTCTTGCGGAACCCTCTCATAATGAGTACTGTAATTGGAGCGACGAAGCTATGGCAGCTCAAGGAGATAGTAGAAGCTTCTGAGGTTAAGCTGACCGCAGAAGTGCTTTCAGAAATCAACTCTGTCCATGAACGGTATCCCAATCCTACACCGTAATATAATTCGAGAAGTTGCATTTACTACCGCTCACATTATTCACCTAGCATTTGGAAGATTGAGTCTTCATGATCAGTCCCTGAGATTGTCAAATTTGAAGTAAGTTTTTCTTTAGGTGAAATTTTCTAACTGTAGGATGAATCTTTTGTTACAAGTGGAGAAAGCGGAAATCTTCATGTTTGAAAACCACAATGGTTCTGGCGAAAAGAAAACACGGGAATTGAAGCTCTCTTTCAGCAGAGTCGAACTTACCTGTAAGGCAAATGTACCTGGTACCTAAACCGAGGGATAACGCTTGAAATTTGTCTGGGAAGAATGTTTTGATAGGCCACATATCAAGATAAGTTAATGGTATAAGGTACTCGTATATGATGAACTGAGAATTTGATTAGATTAGATTCAGAAGACTGTCGATAAAAAGCTTGAATTAAAGATTAAATGTCAAAGGTTCCTAGATATGTAGCTAGGACAAATATTGAACAAATATTCTCTTTAGCATTCTGTCACCAACACATTTGTTGGTGAATTGCATTATGGGAAAGGATATAACATCGATCTGGATGTCAGGTTTTAAACCATCAACAATACCTGAAGATAGGTGAAGACATCTATAAAACTTTAAGAATAAATATTTTAATCGCCAAACGAACATATATGCTTGTCCTTCCAGGAGTCGCGAAGTACTCATCCTCCAGCCCCTTCATCGTTCGTATGTAAAATTACCTTCCGATCCGTATGATGGGCGTTATGATCTGGTCGCTGTGTCGAACATCCACATAGACAACCTTACCCAATGAAGCCTTACTGCTTCCTGGTATTGGCTATGCGATTTCTCCGACCATTGTATCGAAGATGAAGAACGACCCTTCTGGAACGCTGGAGCCCTCAGAGAAAGACCATTTGCTGGATTTTCTAATGTGAATGGTTTTGTATTTTCAATATGGACGCAAAAGTCATAGCAGGTTATAAAAATCATGGTTTTTTAAGTAGATCAGTAGTGCCACAGACATGTTTGTTTTAGAAAACCAAGTGTGTATCCATCAAATCTTTAAGTTTCATATTTCCATACTTTTACATGATCCACATATTGATACATATTTAAGTAAAACAAACATTCGTAACAAAGTATGAGTTTATTCTAGACAGTTGTTTTGATAGAGGACTAAAAATCTGCAATAAATTTATGAAATTTAACATACATTCATACTTAATAGCAATCAAAATAGACATTATTAAAAGTCAATATCATTGAAACTCTAGATTTTCTTAAGGTTTTATCGATTAATATGTCTTAATATCATAAATAATTTTGATTTTAGTAAACGTCAAGAATTGTATGTAAAAAATTACTAATATAAAAATTACTTCAAAAACTGTAGATAAAATTTTATAATTAAAAAAATAAACCTTTATAAATCATTTTTACAGATAAAAAATCCATTTAAGAGAAATCTAGAAAAAATTTCAATGTATATACGGTATAACGGTTATTTTATTCTGGGAAAAAAAATAACATATATGGCAAAAAATTTAATAATATAATAACGAACTCATGCATCACCAACAAAATCTTGAAATAATGACATAGAAATTTTTATAATTTCATTAATTTGTATTCAAATATATGATTGTAAAACTTTCATGATATTAAAATATTATCATTTGATAGATTTCCGAATGAGAAAAGAAAAAATAATGAAATTTACATACTTTGTAAAATTTTAGCTTGCTTTGTATCACTTTTTGCTACTTTTATTAGTCATTGTTGGTTTTCTTAGAGCAATATAATATGATGAGGTGAAATCTCTATGATGCAAGATAGATGGAGATGTTAAGAAGACATACATGTCATATTTCTACATGTTATACATGTCTATTTTTGATTGAGTCAAGGCAATTATATTCAACAAATACTTCAAATGTTCAACAAGACAGATTTTAACGAAATATGTAATCTTTTGGCAATACATTTCAAACTTTTTGCATTTCAATGTTCAATTGATACCATTGAGAGAAAAAAACGTCATTTTTTTTACTATAACAAAATTGTGAACATACTTATGTATTTGATGATGTGCACAAGGTCTGATATTGTTCTAGCAATGGACAAGATGAGCAGGTTCATGTTGAATCTAGACAAGTTTCATTGAAAAGCTGTGAAATGAATTTTCAGTTATTTGATGAGTACCAAAGATTATTGTTTATTGTTTGACGATTTATTGTACAATGTCAAATCTTTGTTATGTTACGTCGATGATGACTATTAACAAGATCTGGATCAAAGAAAATCTTTAATTGTGTATGTGTTTATACTTGATGGTGGATGCATTAGTTAGAATTTTATCTTTCAGAATTGCTTAGCTCAATTTACAATGGAAGTTAATTTGTTCAATAAGCTTATCAATCTTCATTATGATAGCCAATGTACATTACATCTTGCTACAAAGTAAATGATGAACAACATAATGAAGCACATGTACATCAGATATCATTTTATAAGACATGCAATTTTTGAAAAAAATATTGACCTAATCAAAATTGATAATAAATTTAATTCAACTTAGACATTGATCATAATTATTCATTTGGAGAATTGTAGTACATATTGTGGATAATTAGCCAAATTGAAAAGTCATAATTTATATAAATATGCAATTTCATTTTGAAACATCTCATATTCATGCCTAGAAAAATTTCATAAATAAAATCCAAACATGAAATGCATAATCATATATAAAAATTGTACCTAAAACATATAGAAAAAGCTATAATGAAATTGATGAGATAATCTTTGACATACAAAATGTAAAAAACAACCTACATGTTAATGTCGACTACATCTTACTTATCTCGAAATATGTAGTTGACATACTAGTGACTTTTTGAAAACTCTTGAAATAATATTAGAATATTATCTACACATATTTTAAAAAATTAGAAAATATTGCTAACAAGTGAAAATTATAACTAACCATGTTACTAAATTTATTCTAGTTTTCATCACATTTGTGATTGATCACATCTAATAGTTTTTCAAAGGGTTGAAATTTTGGCCGAACTTACATAGGCTACATAGTAATATGGCTTACTATGTAGACATAAATCACAAATCATCAACCAAATCAATTAATAAGGAAAAGGTTGGGTTACCATGGCTGGAGATACTTATCAAATGGCATTTTGACTATGTTTATGAGCTTCATAATTTCTTGAGAACTCATCTTGAAGAGTATAGTGAACGCTATGGGACAAATTTGGCCAAAATCCATATTATGGTTAACTGCAATCTGTTCCCACTCCAAGATCACTTGGTTAGATCCAAGGCAATGCGATAATATGTGAACATGTTTGTTTTAAGCATGAGGTTGAATCTTTTCTTACTATATGATCATAATAAAATTGATTTACTAATATTTTTGAGAACTAAATCATCTTTAGTAGTTTAGAGCAGAATTATTAAGCTTGTACACTTTACCATGTACAGTAAACACGTCGTGAAAGCGTGTGCCATTAGAATGAAATAGCAAGATGTTCGATGGAGAAGATTCAAAAGGAAAAAATTTATATCAATTCTATTTTGTAAAGTAAACCATTTTTTTAATAAGAAAGTATGACTATGACAGGTAATGAAAAATTATAGTAAAAAAGTTTTAGTTAAAAAAGAAACACTATTACATTAAATTTGGAATGAACTAAAAGTTGTGTTGTTGGAAGATGGGGAAAAATTACTTGATGGTGTTCCATCCTAACATAAATAGCTCATTGTTATCCATCAAGTTTTGTTTTATCCGATGTATATCTCGACGGCACACCATCAACAAGCTCTTAAATTTGTTACTTTAAGTACATGGTGTAAACTATAGAGAGAATAAGTGAACTTATGGAAATTCCAACCTGTGAGTATATAATGATGGATTGATAAATATCGACGACATGTTTTGTTGGCATCAAGAAAGATCACAAAGATCGCACACACAATCTCCAATCATTCTCCATTCTGACTTTGAATTATGAATTCAAATGTACACGAATTTGCACATGATTGCCACAAACTCATCAATTCAGCACATGCAAATGCTTCAACCAATGTCCATGCATCTGTCGGACCGTTTCGTACTCTACTTGCTCGTATCTCCTTGTTGTTTGCTTAATGCTGAAGGAATTCAGAATTAAACATAATCTTTGATCTCACTGAAAACAAAGTTTCATCTATCTGCGGCCTTCCCTCATTCTCCTCTCCACTCCTTCTTGTTAATCCTCCTGCATGCTCTTGTTCGTTCCTCCTCATAAATCATACGTCGCTGTAGAACAGGAATGATGTGTGTTGTTGCTGGAGTACTATCCGATACTTGATGGATCCTAGTATATTATTTGTGTTTTGATCTATCCCATCGAGTAATGTACTCGGTTCTATGTTATAAAATGATACTTGATGGATCCCAATAACCTATTTGTGTTTTGATGAATCTCATCAAAAAATTTCCTCGTTCTATGAGGTAAAACTATACTTGATAGATACTGGTGAATTATTTGTGTTTTGATGACTCCCATCAAGCAATTTACTAGGTTCTTTTTGATAAATTGATGTTTGATACATTCCAATAAGCTATTTCTGTTTTGATGAGTACCATCAACTAGGTTCTATAGGGTAAAAGAATAAGACAAGTGTTCCATTAAAATACTTGTTATTTGTTGCATACCATCAAGTGATTTCCTCATAAGACGATGTACTATCCGCTTGGAAGAAAAACCATCTGAATGTCACTTCATGACATGAAATTTTATTTCATTGAGTCATCAATAATGTTCTCTAGGATACAAGCTTATCTTCAGCCTCTAAGGGGTCTAATCGTTTAAATGGTCTGCTCAAGCATAACGTAGTTAATGACTGTCATCTCGAAGACTGATCATTATGTATATTCTCTCCGAATTTGACAAGTTGTGTATGCCAAGAACGTGTTCACCGCGAAGTGTTTGCGATCAATGAAATTACTTGCACAGCTGACTGTTTTCTTGCTCCGTATTTACCTAGATTAATTTATGTTCACTCCGGATTGCCTTGTGAGCTGCAGATGTTGATTTGAAAAGTGCTCCCTAATAACTTCCGATAATTGGGCGGGAAAGTAACTTTGAGTCACATGTCGGAACAACTACTAAGAGATGAAATTCATGCTACAACAAGCAGCTCCTTTATTCGATATTTCGTGTCCAACATACGCACTTTGTACGTTGTCATTCGACAGCGAGTAATCTTACATTTGGCACACAAAGACAGCCAAAAAGAATCAACTACACAATGCCCATTTGATGGACCTATTAATGATTCTACTTCAACTACAACCAAAAATATTAAACACATCTTAATATGAATGTAGTGAGCTCTATCGAATTGATTGTACGCTAGAAGAAGATTAGGACGATAGCTTACAACAGAGAAGAAATACTTCAACTTTTATGATCATAAAACAGAAACACTCGAGATTGAAGTTCCAACTGTCCTTAATTGCAAATGCTGTTGTCAACATCTGCAATTAAGAATTCCTCGTTAGCCGTTCCTACAAGGCATAACCTTGAGCATTGTAGGGGCATTCCATTGACTGCACGGGGTAACGCACTCTGTCATTGCAGTAGTCGTAGGTCATGTACCTCGCACGAACATCCCTCAGCTGCGCTCTCTGCACTGCATTTAGAGACTGATACTGTGGTCTCTCCCAAGAATTTTTCTTCACATTTACTCTGCATGGATAAGTATTTCCATTGTATACCCTGCAGGACCTGAAGGTAAAATCTTTATATGAAACCGAAAAAGGAGCCTTCGTCCAATCGATAGGCACGGCTCCTCCACGAGTAGCCCATGAACTGGCTTCGAACAACGTGCCGTGGACACCCATGGGCTTCAGGCGCGGGTAGACGGAGGGGTGGATGTTTCTGTGAATCCTAATGGGAATGTCGTCAACCAACCAGCTGGACACAAACAATGACAGAGAGAACACTCAGTTTCAATCTGCGATCTCAGTTCGAAAGAAACAATCAACAGCAATCAATACCGCGTAGTCTGATCATGCTTAAGAACAGCGATCAGAACACGATAGACGGAGATAAATAGTCACTTACATTATTTGCTTTTGGTTCCATACGATGGTGTAGTTGTGGTAATCAGCAGTGGGGTCGAACCAGAGGAAAAACTGGGATTCGCGGGCACCCTTCCCGTTCGCGAAAAGGTTGGTGTGTAGAAGGTAAGGTTGACCGGAGACATTGCCGAGAAACTCGAAGTCGATTTCATCTTGTCTGCCATCGTATGATGTCATCTGCAACGTTCAAAACATAGAATTTGGTACAACAACTGTCACCAACCGATGCGGCATGACACGACCCTGCATGGAATTAGTGAACAGACGTCTGCACATACACTACAACTATGCCTCGTTTGGACTCGTTTACTTAGTATAGAAGTTAGTGAGACCTACAGCGTTCCCGATTACTGTCTCGCTTTCAGAAGGCTATCTACTTACGTAGAACGCAGTGACAGTTCCAGCTGAATCACCAGGAACGAGTTTGTACTTGACGCTGAAGGAGCCGTACAAGTAAACATCTTTGGTAGCGAAAGACGCTCCTGTGAGAAAAACAAGACATGTCAGTTTGAGAAGGTTTCCCTTTTGCCCTGGACAGTGCAGTTCGAGAAATTCTAGTTAGCTGTCCAGTAAACGACACTTCCCAATCTTGCGGAGTATTATCAAGGGGGTAGCGATAGCAATGTCAACATCCTACCTGCACTCTCAGTCATGATAAGCTTGACTTCGCTCGTCGCGTCATTGGCAACGATGTTTTGTCCACCCCATATGATCCTGTAATCGTCGTAGAAACCCGCTGATACCGTTCCCAGAAGTACAAGTGCAATGGACACGGTGAGGACGCCTCTGATCGTCATGGGAGCTGAGCCCAATCTCAGGTCTCCGACCTCGGAATGGGATCCTTCAAAGTGATCCACTCACGACGTTTGACTTCGTTCCCTTGTCTGTTTGAAGAGTCGATCCAGAAGGGCATTGGATGCGAAACTCCTTGCGAGTCCACGAATGAAGTTGGGAGCCGAGGCGATATCTCAGATACTGTCCATATAAATGAGTGAAAAGAGAGACTGTCTGGAAAAGGAATGAAGCGTACGTCTGGTCAATCAACGCTCTTCGCACTGGGCCCAAGGGGTGAGCCCACGCAAATTCGTGATGAACAGCCGCCAGCTGGGACAGCCAGGCCAATGCAGCGAAACAAAGGAAGGCTTGCGTTTCTGTACTCGCAAGTGAATCTCACCAGCTGAAGAAAGTGCAATAAAGTGTTGCGGATTAGAGTCTAACCTCACGGATTCATATGATGACAGACGTCAAGTGGGCTTCCGATCAATGAAAATCGACAGACAATGCGCTGGCTTCGTTCACCTCTCTAAAGCTCCAAAGTCGCATACAGCCCACTTCACTCGCTCTCCAATCGCCAGGAATCGTCTCCAAGAAAGCTATCGTCTGTCAGACAAGCCACGGGTGTGCAAAAGGTAGGTCCAAAACCCCCCTACACGTATCGATTCCCGAGCCCAGCTAAGGTTAGTAGCCACACTCTGCACGTGAAATTGAAGATGTAACACACTGCCGGTGAGATTTACACGGAGCTGTTAGCGGTAAGTACCTTCATAACCAGTCTGATTTTTCGGTTGTATCACAGACAGTAGTGTCATGAGTTTGCCTTGACAACCATTATTCATGAGGTAACTTCACTCCACTCCGAGCAGTTTGCTGTATGCTCATCCTCGTTTTTAGTGAAGGTGAAGAATATACACTTCAAACTGAAACCCGACAATATTTTAGCTCCTTGACAAACGTGGCCGTATGCTGTATACTCTTCCTCTTTTATGTGAAGGTGTAGAACATAAACTGCAAACTGAAGACCAACAATGTTTTAGGTCCTTGACAAACGTGGTGGAGTACAGTAGCCCACTCGCTTACAGATGTAATAATGGTGCCCACAGATTGTAGAGCGTCCGCTTGCAAGTATCCATCTGCACTCCAAATTTGCTGATGGTAACTTGAAGATTAGAAGAACTCCCCCTACAGGTCTTATCCAGTACAGTAATTTATGCAGATTCTAAAATTAGCGTAGTGGAGCTAGGTTCTTGCTCTACTGTTTGTGTTAACCAAAGATAGGACTCAACTGAACTTTCCGAGTTCACTCTGTCCATGCACGTAACAATGATAACAAGGATCATTACTCTTCTTAATGTGCAAGACTGCAGGAATAGTTCAACAGTTCATGTTTTGCTGTTTTAGGGATGCTATTCGTGCTAGCCCCATGTTATCCGTTAGGTTTCTTCCCATTCACTACTCGATGGGGTCTTCCCATCCTTTTTGTTATTTTACTGTGTCCCTTGTGATAAAGGTTGACTAGGTCTTTCCTAGAAGAAACCACTCCCTCTGTCCACGGCTAAAAAAATCCACCGCGTAAAAAAGAACATGTGTTCCACCAAATACCGCAAGTATCTCTTATTTTGTTTATTTAACAAACAGGTCAGATTCGACTTTCAACTCTCTGTTCAACTTCGGGGTACTTCCAGCCTCAAAACCAGCAGTCAAGCAATACTGTTACCTTCAGTCCACAATGTATTCTGCGACACAATACCGGCAGGCTCACAGTATCCTGAATGTGTTTATGATGGGATGATTGATAATTTTATTAATGAACAAGTTACCATATTGTTACGTTGTCTTAATGTGCCACTCCATAAGTAAACAAATTTTCAACTTTGCTATGAAGAGCAAAAAATTCTTTTAATCACTATGACATCAATCAAGTCCATACGTTCAGAGTATAAGTTTCCGCCTTCGATTACCCAAAGCCAATACACAACACTTTCTAAACTTCACCTTACACTCACAATTGCATGCATATCTCTCCACGTCTAGGGTTAGACACATGGACTTCGAATACCACTCTCGGACAGCACTCACACCATTTACAAAACTGGCAAAGGTCACGAGTGATAACTTTTAATCTTTTTCGTTCACTATTTCGTTCGGAATGCAATACTGCGACCTTCATCAAATAAACTCCAACTCATGTGGTAGTAGTTTCTGGACCGACTAGGTTGGCACTGTATCCTGTCTAAATCAACGTCATCTGTTGAAACTACAGTACATTACAACATGACCAGCCACAAGGGCTATGGTGTCTCCCACGTGCGGATGAGGTTCTCAAGAGGTATAATGTGGATTTCGTAGGCATGGATGAGTTTGAAATCAAACTATGAAGTTTTGCATCTTCAAAATATCTCAAGTTTCTTTATTTTCGTTATTTTACATTTTTTATCATCTTACGAATTTGAAATCAAATTATGAAATTTGCATGTTTAAAATGTCTTAAGTTTATATATTTTCGTTTTTTTAACATTTTTTATCATCTTACGTGACACGTCCAAAGAGCGCAACCGCGTAAAATTGCATTTCATTTCAATCATTTGGCAAATACATCCACCTCGTAGAGTGATTGGTGGCTCAGCAGGTTGCAAAAAATGCATCCTCGATGGCTCACTAGGTCGCAAGAAAGAAGTTCACTGGTATCATTTGGGCCAGCTTCCCGCTGATATCAAGTTTAAGGTTCTTAGAGCGGAATGTCAAACATTACAAATCTTTTGTCTTTACGACTTCGTCTAATATGAAAACTAATCTCGTCAATTGTAACCTCTATACAATATGCTCTCCATCCACATGATTATATAACAAATAAAAGACATTTTAAATAAAAATAACCTTTAATTTAAACGTTTTAAATGTTTCTGTATTTTTTTTATGAAAAACGGAAGCATCCCTATTCATAGGTGCAGTTGTGCTCTACTGTTTCGGGTCCTGACAGTATTCCGCTCTTCTTTTCACGCTCGTAGTCAGGTACTGCAAGTCCTTGATAACCTTCACACTTTTGATGGCTAGGTAACATGGAAATTACACCATTGACATAGACACACTAATCGCTCACAAGAATAAAGGAAACACCAACGAAGATGATGAGAAAATAGAATGTCACTTTATTGCCCAACTTTTAGTAGCATATCCACTTGCCAAAAGTACAAATTAAGATCCATGAATACTTCAAGCATGAACCACCCTTACTAACATCTCGACGTCATGTATGTGTGTAAAACTCAAGGTGACGCAGCCAAAGGGGTAAGACGCCCGAAGAAATGAAGTCGAATAGAAAGTACCAAGAGGTTGAAAGAAGTCATGCATGTCTCGGTTAGCTCGATAATTGATTTGACTTTCATATATCTCTCTTGAACAAATTGTTATGAGAGCTTCGACTAGAATAATCAAATAACTGAAAACGTGAACAAAGCGTAGACGTCAAAAACGATCATTCTGGATCTCACGACTCAATCTATACTTAATGAACATTGGTGTCTGAAAATGTGGAGTCGACGTCGTGTATCTCCAAGGCGTATGTTGACGATGCCATTGAAGGTGGATGTCCATTCCCCGCAAACAGTATGGTTGCCAAATATAGAGTGTTCAGGCTTCACTGTTCATTTGCTTGGCTTTGCTAATCTTTGGTCTATGCCATTGCTCGTTCAGCCTAGGTTACATGGCGTATTTTATGATCTCATTAAATAGTGAAAGACTTTCCTACATAATATTATGGTATGCAAAAAGGTCAACTATGATAATCAAAATACAATTTATATTTGGATCATAGATGCAGTTCTTTGAATGTAATGTAGCAATACGCTACGTATATGGGTGTGTATGTATAATTGCGGTATTATATCCATGATATGTTACCACTGTGTTATATAGCACTCCCAAACCATACCTTGTATAATTGTATAATAAAGAGTATGTTCATGCAGTCTTAGAGTCCGACAAGTGTTGTTGGATTGCTTCAAGTGCGAGGTTTCATTTTTTTCTACTCTAAATTGGGGACCTAAAAGACACTATTTGGGATAAGTTAGAACCTTGATAGCGGATATGAAACTGAACCTGAAGAAAATCCCATTTACAAGAATGCTGGTGACATTTCTTGAGGGAGTCCACTGCATGAAGAGTATATCTTCGAGACCAAGGAGGTGATGGACGAGGGTAACATCTAGGAATGATAACATAAGGGTTTAGGGTAACATGTTAGGTGAACCTCTAAGTGTTATATAATACATTTAGTATTATACTTTATTATACTACCCAGTCCAAAAAAATTGCAATTATACAGATCCATAGTTACATATCAAGTTTCAAAATTTGAGTTCATAGATCACAAGAGACATTTGAGCCCAATTTTACTCTTCCGCATTTTGTTCATGATTATCTCTTTAAAGATATTTTAAATCAAAGATCATTCTAAGCTTAAAATAAAACCAAGTTTGAGCACCAGCTAATGTATATCATAGCATTTCAAATTTGAATTAAAATTTTTCTTGTGATTTATCATTACTTATTTGACATTCAAAAGCATAGATGAATTATATTTTGAATACTAATGATAGCATATTTTAACATTGCATTTGACGATGTAAACACTATCAATCATATTATACACTGCATAATATATTATTATCAACATCATTTGAAAATCTAAACTTTCGATATCATCAACATTTGAATGTGTGATACAATGGTTTCATAACACATATGAAAAGTGCATAATATTATATGCTAACGTAACACTAACATGAAACATTGTAAAAACTAACAACGTTGAGATAATTTGATACATGAAAAACGACACGAAGATGACGGGGCAGCCTTAGGATGAAAGCTATGTATGCTTCAACATATCAAATCCATGTGACAACTAATACATAAACATTTCTTGATATTAAAGGTAAATTGATAAAGACTCATGTGGTTTTTGATATCATCCTCAACGAGTCTTGACGTATGACAGCTTGATACTTCATGTATCGGCAGTTGACAACACAAAAGTGGAGTGATACAAGAGAGACAAAAGGGATAAAGGATGGCATTGGACGACGATAGCTTTTATGTCATACATCAATCATGTTAACGTACGGAAGAAGAGTAGTATATCAACCTTTGGAGAACTGGAAAGATAGACAAAGGTGGCCTGTTCTTCGCCAAGGTAAATAGTAATCCCAACTCTGAGAAGGGGGAATGAGGTGAAAGAAGATCTAGCTCTAAGATGGTCCGAAAAATGCTCGCAATTAAGACACCTCATATGCTCCAATCAAACTTGAAAGTCCTCAGAACTCTAATGGCTAAAAAAGGTGCACAATGTGCTCTGGAGACTGGAGAAAGTAGA